TTTTTTTTTTTTTTTGCAGGGTTTCCAAAAAATATATAAACAATTTTTTCCACAAGGTGATCCATCTGATTTTGCGTCATTCGTTTTCAAAGTTTTCGATGAAAATAAGGTAATTAAGCATTTTATTTATGAGATAAACAGCTTAAAAACATGCAAATATTCATATTAAATGAATATCAGAAAAATCTCATTAAATATTTACAGTTAATGATAATGGAAATCTTTTATGGAATGAATAAATTTAATGAGTTTTTTTTTTCATACTCATTTATTCGTTTTATTTTCTGGAAATTTTTTAGTAATAGTAATTAATTAGAGCAATATTGCTGATGAAATTTAATACCATTTTATGGGTTACAGTTTTACATAATAATTTATTTTTTGAATAAACAATATATCATATGATCTCAGATTTAAATAAATTCGAAGGAAAAAAACTAACTTCACTGTATTTTTAAATGAAAAAAAAAAGATCATATATTTTCAATTCCATTACATAACAGTTGTTTAACTTACATGAAATATGACAAATATTTAGTATTATTTTGATAGATGTTAAATTTATTTTAGCTCGCAATTATATTAAAAATGATAAATAACTTATGTGTAAGTACACATAACGTACACAATATTCTGGTAAATATATATTTATTTAATATTACAATTTGAGTATTTTAAAGATTTTTATGATAATTGATGAAATTTGAGAAAGAGCGTGAAAATTATTGAAATCATAAATGCAAATTTTACAGGATGGAGCAATTGAATTTCACGAGTTTATCAGAGCTTTATCAATTACATCCAGGGGTAATCTGGATGAAAAATTACATTGTAAGCAATATGGAGAAATTTTTAAATTGAAACTTATCCTATTTTGAGTTGAAGAAAAGTTGAAAAATTAATGCTTCAAAAAAAGATACATATCCAGCGAGAAATAACTTTTCAAGTTTAAAAAAGAAGGATTTGAAAAAATTTCAATAAATGAAAATTAATTGTCAAATGTATTACTTTTAAAAAATAAAATCTTTCGATATTTCCAAATTTGTTGAAATGATTTAATAAAATCAATTGAAATCGGCAATTATTAATTATAAAAAGTGTAAATTTATTGCTCAAAAAAAAAAAAATATATATGTATATAAATCCTGCATTTCAATTCAGGAACATGCCTATATATTTCCGGTTTACAGGGGCTTTCAGATTATATGATTTGGACAATGATGGCTTTATAACACGAGAAGAAATGTTGTCAATTGTTGGAAGTATTTATAAAATGGTTGGTGCAACGATAAAATTACCGAAAGAGGAAAATACACCGGAAAAACGAGTGGATCGAATTTTTAAAATGATGGATAAAGTGAGTTACAATTTCTTTCAATCTTGTTTTTTAATCAAAAATTAAAAATATCATTGATTAGTTTAACTTTTCACCTTGTTACTAATTTGTGATTTTTTAGCGATATTTTACTAAATATTAATAAGTAGTTATCTTTTTATTAAACCTGTCAACATTTTTCTTATTAAACTTATCAACTTTTCTTTCTTGTCAAACTTGTCAACTTTTTTTTCTTGTTAAACTGGTCAACCTTTTTTTCTAAAGGATTGCTTTTTAAAGTTCTGTTACAAATGTTTGTTTTTTTTTTTTTTGCGTCGTTACAAAGTGTAGTGTTTTAATGAAATGAGACAATATAAGCACTGATCAACTTTCGATAATCATTGAAGAATTTATCAGTCAAGTGATCTGATTAAAAGATTGGAGTAAATTTGCAGAAAACTATAATAAATTTTGTTACAGAATAACGATGCTCAGCTAACATTGGAAGAATTCAAAGAGGGCGCAAAAGCAGATCCATCTATTGTTCATGCCTTGTCGCTTTATGAAGGAATGTCAAATTGATATTGAATTTTTGAAATGTTTCATTTTCTTGTTTTTTTTTTTTTTTTTT